GGCTCCTGGCCTTACTACTAGGAACAAGAACGCTACTAGGAGCAAAGCCCGTCCTCGTGCAACTTTCCATGCACAAAGCCTGCGATGCGAGCTTGGTGGTGGTCTCAAGTTGCAACTTTGCCGCGCCTAGCTGCTTCTTGTCATCACGCGCGCGGAAAGCGCAGCCCCAATTGAACTGCGTGCCCTTATGGGTCTGCGGGCACATCGGCACCTGCAAACAAACGCAGTGGTTTTTTGTCGTGGAAGGTGGCCAAGGCAGAGCTTGCGGCCGTGGCACTACGAAGATCACCCTGTGTCTGAGCCTCTTTTGAATGGTGGTCAAATGACCGAGCTCAATGCCATTGTCCATGCCATGAAGCCAAACCAGCAAATAGGGCTTTACCGCTTCCTCCTCTTCTTGCAATCCTGCGAGAGCCCCATAGACCTGCTCGCTGGTTTTTCACAACTTCAGCAAACAGTTTCTGTGCTAAAGCAAGCTGTGCGCGGTCAGTCGTGCTGAAAAAAGGGCTGCTCCGCATTTCGGTCCCGAACTCGCCTTGTAAGTGCTGGTTCCGAACTTCCGCTTGCCTCGCAGGTGTAGTGAAGGTTTAAACAGACATCCCTGCAGATAGAGCCAGAGCATTCCCATAGTCGGAGAAGAGCGCACATTTGGACACAGTTCACATTTGTCCGACAACCTACTAGCGATGGCCTCCAACCGAATAGATCTAATAGCGATGGCCACCAACCTAATAGCGAAGGACTCCAATAGCGATGGCCTCCAAACCCAATAGCGATGGCCTCCAACCTAATAACGATGGCCTCCAAACCCAATAGCGATGGCCTCCAACCCAATAGCAATGGCCTCCAAACCAATAGCCATGGCCTCCAACCCAATAACAATGGCCTCCAACCTAATAGCCATGGCCTCCAAACCAATAACAATGGCCTCCAACCTAATAGCCATGGCCTCCAACCTAATAGCCATGGCCTCCAAACCAATAGCGATGGCCTCCAACCTAATAGCGATGGCCTCCAACCTAATAGCAATGGCCTCCAACCTAATAGCAATGGCCTCCAAACAAATAGCGATGGCCTCCAACCTAATAGCGATGGCCTCCTACCTAATAGCCATGGCCTCCAAACCAATAGCGATGGCCTCCAACCTAATAGCCATGGACTCCAAACCAATAGCGATGGCCTCCTACCTAATAGCCATGCCTCCTACCTAATAGCGAGCAAGGTCAATTGTTTGAAAAGTCAAGAGCCTGTCCGCTCGCTGTACAGGCTATCTTCGCCAGTGATTTCCCCCTCGGCGATAAGTTGAATCTTCTCCCCGCTCGCAATCTTTGGCATATCCAGGCCATCAACCCCCCAAAAATGGCAAGTGAATTCCAATCTGTCGTGTGATGTCTTGCAATCTAATCGCTTATATGTTTTTTTTCGGAATTTCCGGTCCGGTCCATTGGTCCATCAGTGTTTGGTGAGCTTTGGCCTATAGTATTGACCCAAAATCGAACATCAGTGTGACATGGAGGTAATATGGACATCATGGAACTGATCAGCGTCTTAAGCCGAAAATGACGAACTATCAAACATCATCGACCTCGCCACACCGGTTGATTGCAATCTGAGCATGGGTCCCAAATTCGAAGTCTCACTACCGCGTGCAACAAGGTAGCATCTATCTAACCTGGCAAGTGGAATATGCAAACTAATGGAACATAAGTATCCCAAGTGGCGGCTTCAGCCTTTTTCCAGCACTGCATGAAACCAATATTCAAGCAATCGAGCATGCAACTTGGCACCTTCTCATTCGCTTTGGCGAAGAAAAAACCTGATAGAGCCCACGAACCCGAACGCAGTCACTTTGTATAAAAGCGTAGCACTCAGAGCGTTCTTGTTTTCGGAGATGACTCGCAGAGTCATCAACTAAAGCAGCACCAGCACCTCCCCAGCCGTCTACACTCTTTCTTGACACACTTTGCTAGACAATCGTTCTTGACACTTTCTCTTGACACTCTTGCTGGGCACTCTTGCTTGACACTCTTGCTTGACACTTTTGCTAGATACTTTTACAGGACATTCTTAATTTGACATTTTTGCTTGACACTCTTGTTGGACACTCTTGCTTGACACTCTTGAAAACAAGCATTTTTCACAGGACTTTCACCAGAAGCGACAATCAAAGCTTCCAAAAACGAGCATTTTCCACGAGACTTTCTCTTGCTAAACAGTCTTGCTTGAAACTCTTTCTTGACACTCTTTGCTAGACAATCTTTCTTGACACTTGTTCTTGACGCTCTCTCTTGACACTCTTTACTTCACACTCTTGCTGGACACTCTTGACACGACACTCATGCTTGACACTCTTTCTTGACACTCTTTGCTAGACAATCTTTCTTGACACTTTCTCTTGACACTCTTGCTTGACACTCTTGCTTCACACTCTTGCTGGACACTCTTGACACGACACTCTTGCTTGACACTCCTTCTTGACACTCTTTGCTAGACAATCTTTCTTGACACTTTCTCTTGACACTCTTGCTTGACACTCTTGCTGGACACTCTTGCTTGACACTCTGCTAGACACTCTTGCTGACACTCTTGCTTGACACTCTCTCTTGACACTCTTTGCTAGACAATCTTTCTTGACACTCTTTGCTGGACACTCTTTGCTAGACACTCTTGCTTGACACTCTTGCTTGGCACTCTTGCTGGGCACTCTTTGGTAGACACTCTTGCTTGACACTCTGCTAGACACTCTTGCTGGACACCCTTTGCTACACACTCTTGCTGGGCAGGACTCTCTGCTAGACAATCTTGCTGGACACTCTTGAAATGACATTTTGCTAGACACTCTTGCTAGACACTCTTTCTTGACACTCTTTGCTAGAGACTTTGCTAGAAAGTGCAACACAGACAAAGTCCTGCCAGGTATGTCACTTTCCGACGTGGCAGTCTCCAAAACGAGCGTTTCGTACGGGACTTCCTCCAAAAGTCACACTTCAAGTCTCCAAAACGAGCGTTTCGTACAAGACTTCCTCCAAAAGTCACACGTCAAGTCTCCAAAACGAGCGTTTCGTACGAGACTTCCTCCAAAAGTCACACGTCATGGCTCCAAAACGAGCATTTCGTACGAGACTTCCTTAAAAACTCACATGTCAAAGTCTGCAAAACGAGCATTTTGCGAGACTTCCTCCCAAAGTCAAGCGGAAACACCCATCGGAGCACACCCATCACGCAGCCCTGCCAATCAGTTTCGCGATTCCAGCCCCTCCAAACAACACCCGCTCACATGCCAATCCCAATGTCACAGCGACATTCACCTCTACCACAACTCACAACCTCACGATTCCCTGCGCCCGCCACGAATCTTTCCACGTCCACACGTCTAACACGCACAAAGTCTTGCGCCTGCCACGAAATGTCCCCTCCGTCACACATCGCAACCTCACGATTCCCTGCGCCTGCCACGAAAAGTGACAATGTCATCTCATGTGAGCTTCAACAAAATTTGCACCACACCACACGTTTGGAATGATTGCCCGTTCTGAGCACACTCCCATCCACCAAAAACGCCATTTCAGCTGAGACGCTTCGATGCCACACCCTGAAACGCAAACCCCAATGGCACGGCCACATCCAACACCCCAAAAACACGACTCTCCAAACGCTAACCCCAATGGAATACCGACACAAACGTGTCACTTTCACGAAATCCTGCGCCTATGCAGCGAAATGCATCACGTTTCTTGTGCGACATGTCAGTTTCATGCAAATCACAATGTAATAGCGGCGCAAAATGACACGTGACACATCCATGAAAAGTCACTTGCAAAAGCTTCCCCCAATGGCAGGGCCATAGAGACATCATACGGACGCTTGCAAACGGTTGCGAACTCGAAAACACCGTCGGGCAAACACAGCTCTACCCTCAGACTCCCAAGTTAAACGAGAACCCTTCGCTACGGGAAAATGCAATGAATTCTCTTTGGGGAGGCACCTGTGTGCACTCAAGCAAATAATGTAGTTAATTCTCTTCCCATGACCATCCAGAAATTATCAGAAATCAATCATCAATGCCCCGGGCTGATCACACAATTTAGGATCAATAGTGTTGATGCTGTCTGTCATAGGAAGGTCAATGAAATCTCACCGAAAAAAATACTTCAACATATCAAAGTTCATGCAACAGAAACGGAGAGAGGTTGCAAAGTGATGTCTTCTCTCTGGAGGCTGGTAGGTTGGAGGCCATTGCTATTAGGTTGGCAGTAGAGGTCCTGCATACTTGTGCATTTGCCCATTTGTTACCAGTAGCTTCTTGTTACTGGTAGTAATGGCATCCAACCTACTAGTGATGGCCTCCACCTAGTAGCTTCTTGCTACTAGTAGCTTCTTTTTGTTAGTTTCCCTCTTCACTCAGATCATCACCGTGTCAAGCGCACTGCCAACTCGACAAACATGGATCCTGAGCTGGATCTGTCGAGGCCTACATCAGGCATCGCATCACCCAAGCTAAGTTGTTTATCTTTGGGTGGCCTACTCACCTACTCCTGACTCCCAACCTGACCAAAACAAAAGTTCAGCAAATCCAAAGCATCTTGGTGAAGTTCTCCAAAAAGTCCTCCCAGTACAAGTGCATCGCTAGTAGTAACAGGTGCCTTACTAGTAGTAACAAGAAGCTACTAGTAACAAGTGCATCGCTAGTAACAGTCCTCCCAGTACATGCAGAAAATGCCGGGGTCGTCTCCATGGATCCTCCAATGCAAGTCACGATCCCAGCGAGTGTCCTGCGACTCAACCAGATGAGAATCGGAGACTCCGAACGGCGTGAAAACCACAACAGGTCCCGTCACTACATTTCACTTAAACTTGTACGTTGAAGGTCATCGCTAGTAGGTTGGAGGCCATCGCTATAAGGTTGGTGGCCATTGCTATTAGGTTGGAGGCCATCACTTGTAAGTTGAAGGTCATCGCTATTAGGTTGGAGGCCATCGCTATTAGGTTGGAGGCCATCGCTATTAGGCTGGAGGCCATCGCTATTTAAAGGCCATCATATTAGGTTAGAGGCCATTGCTAGTACGTTGGAGGCCAGGCCATCGCTATTAGGTTGGAGGCCATCACTTGTAAGTTGAAGGTCATCGCTATAGGTTGGAGGCCATCGCTATTAGGTTGGAGGCCATCGCTATTTAAAGGTCATCATATTAGGTTGGAGGCCATTGCTAGCAGGTAGGAGGCCATTGCTAGTACGTTGGAGGCCAGGCCATCGCTATTAGGTTGGAGGCCATCGCTAGTAGGTTGGAGGCCATCGCTATTAGGTTGGTGGCCGTTGCTATTAGGTTGGAGGCCATCACATGTAAGTTGAAGGTCATCGCTATTAGGTTGGAGGCCATCGCTATTAGGTTGGAGGCCATCGCTATTTAAAGGCCATCATATTAGGTTGGAGGCCATTGCTATTAGAATCCCGGCTGATGCACTTAGCCACTCAGGCCCAGACCTTCTAGTGGTAGTGGTGTCGCCCCCCCTTGGTGGGGGTACTAGCTGGGCCCCGGATTTCACTGCCATGGAAGATCATGATCTGGAAATAGGTCTGAGGAGCATCCTACAGGAGTTCACGCTGTGGGGCGATGCGCAGGCAATTTTGCCTGACCGACCCAGTCTGCTGGTACAGGACCTCCAACTGCAAGGCCCCACTGACTTGTTCACCTTTGAGGGCTCTCATTTGGTGGCAGCTGGAAGAGGGGCAGCTGAGCTGAAGATGGATTCTGTGTGGATTGGAAGCGATACTCAAATGGCACACAAGCTGCAGCTCCTTTGGAGATCGGATACCAAAGCTGTTATGCACAACCTGGCCTTGCAAGGCTTTATGGACAAGTGCTTGTTGTGGAACGTTGAATTGTTGTATCCCCCTCAGAATCAAAGGGCTGATGTTGCTATTGATGATTGTTCCTGCATCCTGCCGCTTCGGAAAGGGAAGACTGGACCCATCAGAGCATTGAACCTGTTTGGAGGAGCTTGGGGAGGCTGGTCCTTTGCGGGCCAGATACTCACTGAGATGGGGGTTGCGGTCCTTTCAGGAGCTGTCGAGCTGGACTTTGCGGCTGCACGTACTTATGCCACCTCTCACCGATGTCCTCTGCTTACTTCAGGTGAAGATGATCCCCTACCTCCATTGGCCTTGCACTCCTTTCCTGAGGGTTGGTGCCTATGGGCGGATGTCATGGACGCCTCTTGCCCAGAGATTGTCACGATTTCTGCTCCATGTCCACCGTGGAGTGGGGCTGCAGCTCAACGTGGATTGCATTCATTGGATGGCCAACTGCTTTTTCGGAGCATTGCCCTTTGCAAATTACTGAGGCCCAAGCTGATTCTGATTGAGCAAGTTGCTGCCTTTCAT